AGCGAATTCTCACTTTAAACTTGCATACAGGGATTATTCGATGCCCTTATAACGGACATAAAATTCGTTTTAACGTTGGCAGAATTTGGCGGCATTTCCGTGCCGCCACCTTCTTCACCAAAATCGGTGTAATCTTGCGTGCTGGGGTTACTCGTGCTTTGATCACGAATATGACATTGGTTTGGCACGAAATCTCTATACGCCCGCGTCACAGGCGGCAGCAAATGCTTCTTTTGATCTCGGCGCGCTAGCGCAATTCCTGGATGTTCCGTCCCAAGCGGTGTGCTAGAGCAGTTAAAGAACATGGCCAGACGAGACAGTACCCTTTCTGGTTGCCCACGATAGCGATATCCTTCTCCTTGCTAAGACTCAGCCTGAGCAGAGGAAGGGATCACTATCTCAGGGAAGGGAGCAGACGAGTGCATCACATGTACCACTTTTCCTCGATAAAGACCAGCTTTACGCTCGAAATAATTCGTGGATGTCCAATTTCTTTCCACTTCATGACAGCGCTGTGATTGCATGTGGCAAAGTTAAAGCCCAACAAATTTAGGCTTAGGTCGCGAATTTATCCAGTGAAGGGCAACAAATTTGAAGATCGGAAACAACATCGAACACTTCTTCATCGTAGTCGCCGCATTTCCGAAACAGGGGAATCAAGAAACTGTCCGAAAGATGGGCACCTGTCCACACTATTATGGTGACTAGAAGCATTGTTCAACGAACTAAATTTAACTTGAAGGTTTGCAAGAGGTGTCGCAAGACATTTCGTCCAGCCTTATAACCATATGAATAATCAGTAATCGTGATCATATGAACAACATAACCATTAAGTAAAAGGTGAATTCTTCAAAACAGGGCTCTGATTAACCCTCAACAGTATTCTGGCTACTCAAGAATCCCACCAACAAAAGCAATACGTCTTCAAACACAGCTGCAGATAAAACATTCTTCAGATTTGAACATATCACTAGCGGATTTTTTCTAATTTCAAAGGGAGTGTGCATTTACAACCCCAATCGGCAATTCACATAAAATTCGCTTACAATCAAAAAAATACTCGTATAACTAACACAGTGTGAATAAACTCTACTTCAATATCTTTTCGATGGACTGTTGTCAAAGCAGGACAACAATATTTCGGGAATCACATTCACTCCCGAGTTAGCAGTGCTTTTGCACAGCAATTGATTACATTTACATGGAGGGTTGATGAGGTCACAGCCGCAGGATTCCGAACTAGGTCAATGAAAACTCGTAATTTACATTACTTGCAGCATTTACCCTTTCGGGCGGGTTCGTCGTCCACCAGTTCAATTCTACGACCTCGCGCTGTACCATCGACACGATTTCTTGACGAATCTTTTGCAAGAGCAATCATGGCTGAACGAAAAAAGCAGTTTTCATATGAATAGTTCAACGTGGCAATCAATCTCATGGTCACTTATCAGATTTCCAGATCTCCCAACATGGTAGCCGAAAGCTCCAGGATATGATTAAAGTTCGGCAGGGATCAATTGCGACTGTGTCATGAACTCGACTCAGGGCTGAACTACACTCCCCGTAATGTAACCCACGCCAGCTGATGAATGCTGAGCAGGTGACCTTTACTATAATATTTACAATTGGTAACGTCGCGATCAGTCGCATTGGTATCAGGAGGGACGGACAGCAGTGTTTACTGTTTTCCTCCTGAACCAACCAATTGCCCTTTACCAGTACAGCTAGGCAGCCCAAGGGGGCTCATGCCGCCCCACTCACATAGCATTGTTTGTGGTGCTAAAAATTACCAAATTACAACTAATCACCGCTCACCTTTACACAGCCTCTCAAACGCATTTTCGATACCAACGTTTTCTTTAGCGGACGTTTCTTCATACATCGCACCTGCGGAGGAAGGCATATCTGAAAAAAAAGAGTTTAGAGAGCACAAACATATCGAGCCAGGACGTAGAACATGAAAGCCATCCCACATGTTTGCTAGTTTAAGTTTTGGTATATAAGCACAAATTTTCAAAGTAAGAGTTCTGTATTGAAGAAGAGATTGTCAAGTGTCGCATAAGGCGTTTTTCTCAGCAAAACAAACTTAAAAAGGAGACAGCTTTTCATGCTTCATAGAATGGCAGAAACGGTTGGTATAGGGGCTAAAGCAGAACGGACTTAGACCCTGCGGGCATTTCGTATAAGCGACTGCAGAAACCTCACATAGCCCTGAGTCATTGAACCAAGTGCAAACCTTGTATGCAATGAAAAACCAAATGTCATATATACATTGAAAAATAGTGGCCCATTTCGCCTCTTCCTGGCGAATCAGGACACGTCGTACGCTGGAGATCCTCAGTAACGGAAATGGTAGTTGGTACTGTAGTGAGTAGTTCGCACTTCTCTTTGCGGAAATGTTTTCGCTTTTTGATTATTCTCGATCCTTCACGTACGCGGTATTTACATCCTACCCCTCCCCCCACCCCAAAAAAGGATGGTAGAGAGTTGGTTCAATTCAGGAAAGTGGTAGGTAATATGAGGGAAAGGGTCGTACATCGCAAAATCTCCTCAACGGCAGCGACGTGCCCTGACGGCAATATCGTAACGACGCAAAGCGACAGGGATGACTGGGAGTCTTACATGGGGAGGTGCTTTATATAAAACAGTCACTCACTCTTGCGCCTCCTCTATGGTGACAGTTCTGTTCCTGGCCAGATCAAACTTATTTCCGACGATCATCAATACGACAGAATCTCCTAGAGCTCTCTGCAACTCCTTGAGCCACACTTTTGCCTGAATTACACGGCATGCTCGATATGAAAAGTCTCTCGTTTATAGAGAACGTGAGGACAGGTAGAGGAGAACTGTTCAACTCCACTTGTGAAACAAGGAATTGATCGGTTTTTTCTCTATCTTCCTACAGTTAAAGACGCAATGAACAACTGAAACAAACCCGTTCGAAGGAACGCTGATCAGTGATATCAAAAATAAGTAGCGCTCCTTGGCTGCCTCTGCAACGAACGAGATGATGAGGTGTTGCAAGAATATCGCTCATGGACACATACCTGTAGTAAATCGGTCCCAACGCATGATATTTTTCCTGACCCGCTGTGTCCCAAATATTCAGTGTAATGTGACAACCATCGAGTTCAAGCTGCTTTGTTTGAAAACTGGCCTGAAAACGTTAGAATCAGCATAGTCACCTTTCAAGAATCTACGTGATAGACCCGAACATTAAATGTCACTAAATGTCCTTTGAGTCGATAGCAGTAAGCTCATTATCTGCAGCGGATGATCCCTTAAAAACATGCCTTTTGTACCGTGGCGACCTTCCTCTTTCTGTGATTCTACTCAATCGAGCTATCATTTGGTGATTGTTTGACCTTGTGCCTACGTTTGATCACAAAAAAATTGCATCTTTCCGGGGTTCCTTGACATAGCTCCTTCGGTTAGGTATAGTTCTTGTGGACTGCGCGACATTTCAACCAACCTTTCACGATATTCTGGACGCTCTCGCAAACAATCACACTCGTTGCTATCGGCACCAAGGCGATGTTTTCATTTCTGGCACTTTTTTTTGTTGAGTGAACAGAACTGCCTGGTACGGACACAGTTTGCCGCTTTCTCCATCGTACCAACCATACCATTCTGGCATGCCATACGTAGAAGATCCTCAGTCGTATTTGGTTGCTGGAGGGAGGGGAGGGGGGAGGGGTCGTACTTGCCTTTCAGAAAGATGTTTTAGGCTAGCGAGTTTTCTCGTTTCTTTTCCCCTTTCCAAGTGTGTTTTATACTCCTACCCCTTTCGACGGATTTTTTAAGGAAGGTGAAGGCATTTTCAAGAAAAAAAACTTCGGAACACGATAGAAAGTTGGAAGAACTCGGGAAGATGGTAGGTAGGATGGAGAATGGTGGTTTTACTTGAGGAAGAAAGCTTGAGGTGTCGTATTATACAAAATTATATGGCACTATTTACCCTTTACTGCCCCAACCATCCAGAATTGAGCCAGTTTCTGACCGACTTTTTTCTCCGTGGACAGATTTGGCTCAAATGTTGTCCTGGGTATTTTGACCTCCTGAATACGAATATGACATTCGCTTAGCCCGAAACTTCCTGGCGCCCGCGCTACAAGCGCCCGTGATTTGGTCGGCGCCTGTGGCGCGGGCGTGCCAGGAGGTTTCGTGATTGGCGGATCGTTTGATTTATGTGCGACGTCGAACTACCCTAGGAACAAATTTTTAGCCAATTCTGCCAATGCAGAAAGAAGCCGGTCAAAAACTGGCCTGTTTTTGGAAGATTGGGGCAGTAAAGGGTAAATAGTGCCAATTATATAAAGTAGGAAGATTCTCCAAGCTTTTCACCTCAATGTGCGCTATATGCGCGATAGCTTTCATAGGACAAACGTGCAAACTAACAGCAAGAAACCAAATTCGTTATACAGTTGTAGTGTAGAGAATGCAACAAAATACCTATAACGAAACTATTAACTCAGTTTGAACGCAGAAGAAAAGCACGAGGGAGGAGGGGGTAGGGAAATGCGACTAACCTTCTTAACAGCCTCGACAAAGCGCGGGTCGGACGGAGTATTCTTCTCGTCTTCAGGTTTTGGGCAAATTACTCATATTCTGAGAAAATTTCCTCTTCGGATGAACTATCCGCAAAAAAACGGCGCCACTCAGAAGATCGCGGCGCCTACTCACAGAGCTGCGTCCACATACTATGCCTTAGAGGCTCGTAGCTAATTTCAAAGATTTTGAGTTGGGCCGAGACTTGAGTGTACAGTCACGGTCATGACGGCCTCTTGATGGCTGAATACAGTCTTGTTCGCTGCAGATGGGGCGGTCTGCGAGACTGGGTTTGGCGACGCGCCAGTTAATTCTCCGCTAATTGAAGCCGGAAAGTGACAACAAAATGTGGAAAACGAACTGCCGTCGCATCAAACCAAGCCTCCTGACACATCCCAGCTTCTGCGAACAATACTGTAGAATGCACTTCTTCAACCTCACCCAACTCGGATTTTTTCAACAGAACAATATTGGAAGCTGTTACCGGCGCTATCACACAGATGACCAAACAACTTTATGCTGCTCGTGCTTAACAAAACTTTTGGAATATATCGCACCTGAATTGTTGAAATATGCCTAGGACTGAACTTGTTTTCGACATATCGCATAAGTAATGAAGACTTTCCTACAGCGCCTTCACCAAGTAAGACAACCTGGAGCAGAAAAAATTAGAGCGCGAAATGCCTGAGACCCAAAATCCGTAAGGACCTTGAATTGAAAGTCCTCCGAAGGTCCCGCTCCTTCCATTTATTGCATAAAAAGGATTATCTAAAAATGACTGAACAAGGAGCGTAAATAGTTTAAAGAGGACGGTCACTAAAGGATATACAGTATGACAGGTGCGATACCGGCATGCGATGACTCAGTAAAACGAATGGGACATTTATTTACATAAACATGGAATGACATAAACCGTAAATGATCTGCTACAACTGTCCACACTGGGCAACCAAAATCGGGATTTTTGGCTTGTTGTTAGCACCCGTTTGAACATTCTCAATCTTGCGAACAGTCAGCAACCCATCGAGTACTCGTCCTGAAAATTGAAATCAGCATTACATAACCTTTTATTCTCTCTATTGACCTTCCAACATAAACGAAACTACTGTATAATTCAAGAGGAGATCAGTGAGGGTCAATCAGTGTATGCTGCAACATGAGGCGTAGCAGTCAAAACGACATCATCTGGCATACTTTCTCTTGCTGATACAAAGGAGAAAACAGAAGCTTTCCCTCCCTGGCTTTGTTCGGCTCTTCAGTCACGAATACAGGAAGAGCGCAATTACAGGAATACTTTTTAATAAAAACGCTCACCACCAGCCACGACTTGAACCTGGACCACACAATTTTTGGGGAAGTGGGCTAATACTTAATGTGTAGTGAACGCCAGCACAGTTACTTGAGCAGCATGAGTTCCAGGACCAATTCTTGGTTGAAGCATTCTTGGTTTTGCCATAACATGGCATTTTTGCGGTTTTAGCGTTAATTCCAATGAGAACAACAATTCGCAGCGATGTTCAACAAATCAGAAGCATTAAATTTATTCAACGCCAATGCTTCTGGGTTCGACCCGGAGCAACATAGTAAAACACTTTTTAGCACTGTTCCAAATTTCCATTACAGCACAGGCCCCCAAGCGAGAAGTGGCACTAGAAACTACGGCACAAATAGAGAATAATAGCAAGTCGATAAGAAAAAAAACTGACCAAACACAACATGCTTCTTATCTAGAAAGTCTGTTTTCGCACATGTAATGAAGAATTGACATCCATTCGTATCAGTTCCTGCGTTAGCCTAAAAAGAAAAACAGTTACGATTGCTGTCCTCCACCGCAGTTCGCAATAGGAAAGTTGTAGAACTGTGTTTGCAGTATCAGATCCCACACGCTCAACTAGTTGATGATATAAGCTCAGAGATCGCTGAATTCTTCTAGCTCAAATGAGCTACACCACCTATGCAGTAGCTCTTGTTACTGCGACTAGGGCGAGAGATTTAGGGATATGATAATGAGCAAGATGGCAAACTCATCACTTAGCCCTCTCTCTTGAGAACCTTCCTCTTGCAACCTGGGCCATTCACAAGCAATAGTACAGCCAGTAAAACCGTTTCTACAGAAGCTGATGTAGATCTAAACTGTACTGATCTTCCCGATGGACTTAGTTATTGGGCGCTTGCAGAAACAGGTCTAATGCAGAGAAAAAATTCTTAACCACTCCAGTTAGTTCGTTCACCCAAACGGTGAAGTTGGAGGTGGAGTTGTACTCACAGACGTTCTCCTTTGAGAGTCGGTCAACTCTGGAGAATCCTTTGAAGTAGAACTATAATTAAACATCAATATTTCACGAGGGAAGGATAAGCACGGTCATTTATGCTTTGAGAACAGCCAAGTATAGCAGCTAGAGAGCGAAGATGATCGTGTGAACTGATTCAGTCAATCCTGATCAGCAGGGCTTATTAGGCAGATGAGGGGCTGCCTTGAGTGAAGGTTTGGATGCATCCGCATTTCGATGTACGTACAGCGACTAGATAGCTTTGCCGATGCCGAGCATGGCTCCACCTTCAGAACCTAAGTCAGAACAAATGTCGAGCATGGCTCTACCATCCACCTTTCTGATCCAGCCGAGATTCATGGCGAAGCGCGGAGAAAGTGATGATTTTCATCTTTTGTTTTGGATACGAAAACAGCAGTTGCACATCGACGTTGAAGCAACTCCGGGACACTGTCACGAACTTTCAGAAGAGCCTGATAGAGAAACCGCCGGCAGTCATAACATATTTCCTATCAATTGGGAACATTTCGCAATGAGTGTTACATACTAACTTCTGCTTACAGGAAATACAACTAGCCGCCTTCATAGAACAAGGTCCGAATGTGAATGGCACCTACCATGGAAAGGATTCCCGGGCCACTGTGCTCAAGGATAAAGTTTTCGTCTCGAAACTTCGCTCCATATATGCTCATCATTCCGGTACCGTCACCCTAAAAATAGACTAGAGCAAAACGGGGATCAAATATCACAGAAGGCAAGAACGATTGTCTCAAACTTACGTTTACAAAGTCCCCTCCTTGAATCATAAAGTCCTTGATGACTCGATGGAACTGGCTATTCTTATACCCAACAGGTACACCATCTTTACGAAATTCTCCAGTGCAAAATTGGCGGAAGTTTTCGGCAGTCCTAGGGGTAACATCCGCAAACAATTCCATCTACAATACAAATAAAATAGTAGTTACAAATACGTAATCGAATGCGAAGGGTTTACTCACCACTATCGTGCCAAGTGGGGCACCACCCGCCGTCATTTCCATAAATACAATGGGATTATCAGGATGCCGCAATTGTTCGGCATATTTATCGTAGTCGGACATCCTTAAAACAAGCAAAAAGTAACAGAGAAGTAGCAGATCTAGATGTAATATTGCGTTCGGCACCGATCAATGGACCTGTGGCTAATGCCGTTTGGACTCCAGAAATTTCGGCTCGAGCTCATTTTCAAATTGCCTAAGCCACCAAATCCACTAAAAACTTGTATATAGGGGTAATTCAACATCCTGATTACGAGTATGACACTCATTCTTGGCGCTGGCGCCAAGAGAGGACACTACGATTACCTCCTGGGCTCAGCCTTAGCAGAGCGCAGGTAACCGTAGTGTCATCCATTAGCGCCAGCGCCAAAAATGAATGTCATATTCGTGATCAGGATGTTAATTTACCTCTATA